TTGCCCTGGGTAGAGTGCTGTGGCATCACAGCTCACAGCAACCTCCAACTCCTGGGCTTAAGCGATTCTCTTGCCTCAGCCTCCCAAGTAGCTGGAACTATAGGCATCAGCTATTTTTTGGTTGTAGTTGTCACTGTTGTTTAGCAGGCCCAGGCTGGATTAGAACCCACCAGCTCTGGTGTATGTGGCTGGTGCCTTAGCCGCTTGAGCTATAGGTGCTGAGCCAGTTTTTCTATTTTTAGTAGAGATAAGGTCTCAGTTTTGCTCAGGCTGGTTTTGAACTCATGAGCTCAAGTGATCTGCTCACCTCGGCCTCCCAGAGTGTTAGGATTATAGGTGTGTAAGTTCTAGTTCTGATTCTGAGACACTGTGGGCTTTGGCAGTCCTCTCTGGCCTCAGAGTCCTCTCTTTGCCCCAACAGTTTCCTGTTGACCATGGGGCAGGATCAAAAGATCCTTATTTCCATCTGCCAAGCAGGCACCTCTTTGAATTCTATCTGGGGTGGGGATTGGGCTTGGCCATTCTCGGGCCCTCCCCACTGGTCATTGGGCTGGGGCAGGTGTATTTGGCCCACCCCCCGGCTCCTTACGTGAGGGGCAGTGAGCAGGGGGGAGGTGGAGATGGCTGTAGAGGAGCGAGCCATGGGTCGGACAGGGCTGGAGGGCGGCAGAGAGCGGGGACTCTGGGAACCATCGCTGTCGCTGCCGTGGCTGCTGGGGGGCGTTGGAGGCATCTGCACCAAGTCCTCTGGGGAGAGCGGAGAAACCAGGTTAGCAGGGGTGCACCCCAGCTCTGTTCTGACATCAGGAGTTCAGCTTAGTATGGGCTTGTACCAGCCCTGACACTGTGGGAAATGGATTGCCAGGCCCTTGACCTCAGCTGTAACATCAAGAACTCCTCTGCAGTGTCAGAAAGATGGCTGACATCCTGAAGCTGATAGCTAAGTGCCACCCCGTCTCTGACACCACAGAGGTCTGGTTCTTTTGAGCCTGGTCCTTGACATGACCACCATAACCACATCAGGTTTCCATTTCCAATTTTCAGGGTAACAGGACAACAGGCACTGGGATTTCAGCAGACCGGCAAGGTGCCCAGCTCCCTTTCATGCTGTCCCCTCTGTGGCCGTGGCACCAGGAAGACTGCAGATGTTGAGGACAGATGCCAGAGAGGCCCAGGAAGAGCCAAAGACCAAGATCCTAAAGGCAGGGAGCACTTCCAGGACAGTCCAGAATGCCCAGAAAATTTTAAGGACGAAAACCAGGAGCTTGATTGCACCATGGCTCAGGGCCAAGGCCGAGAAGAGGAGCTGCTACATCCTTCCAGGCTGGCACAAGGCTGCCCCCTGTAGGAGTTCTCTCTCCTTCCTTTGACACTTATTTGCTTCTTGTGGATGCCACACTGTAAAGAGCACTGGACTTGGAGTCAGGGAGACCTGAGGTCAAGTCCTGACTGTAGCATCTTTCAACTCTGTGACCTTAGTTATGTCTACCTAACTTCTAGGAAATGACTCCTGGCTCAGAGCACAAAGATACAATGAGCCAATGGACCTGAAAATGCTTGAGGCACCAAAGGGTACCCTGTAATGTGAGATGTCTCAACATTGGTCTCTTTCTATCTTGTGTGTGTTCTGTCCTCCCTCTCAGCTGGTAAGCACCTCGAGGGGAAAAATTTGGCCTTGTTCATCTTTCCAGACCTGTGATACTTAGTCTAGGGCCTGGATACACACAGTGGATGATTAATCAGTGTTTGATGAATTAAGGAGATGGGATTGGAAAAGACTCCATTAAACCTTTCTCTTTCTGGCCAACTTCAAGCAGCTTCCTCTGTCCCCTTCTTCCCTGTTTGATCTGGGAATCTGTTCTAAGGGCTCGCTGGAGATCTGCCATATGCATGCCCATATCACTGCTGTGTATTTGGTGGTTTGTCTGTGACCCTCAGTACTTGGGTACAGGGACTGTCTTCTCTCTCTGATTCCCCAGTGCCTAGGACTGGGAGATGCCACCTAGTGGACTCTCAATGGATGGATGGGTGGATGATGGTTGAGTATTGGGTGAACTTCAGTAGGTGAGTAGGTAGAAGGGGGATTAGCAGAGAGGGCATGAGGGTGTTGGTCATAGTGATGGCAGTAGTAGACTGGGTAAGAAGGGGACTGGAAAGAGAGGAGTATGGATGGATGGAGAGTAGGTAGGGGAGAAAAGGATATTCTAGGGAGAGGTGGGGGTGTAAAGGACTGGGTTGGACCAAGAGAGTAGAGATACTATCTGCCTAAGACTGGAGGGGGAAAGAAACCCTCCCCTGGGCACACTTACCTGGTGTCACTTTGAGGAACTGGTTCACCTCCTGGGGTTCTGCTTTGATCACTGGCAGCTGAGTCATCTCTCCTGGGGCCTGCGGAAGAGATAAGTCCAGCTCCATCAGCTGCCCCTGGGACTGTCCCTACCATGCTGTCCATCTACCTCTCTCTTGAAGGCTGGTAATCTGCCTCGTACAGTTGGGGAGAACACTGGGCAATCCTAGTGTTCTGAGAAGGTGAGGTGGGAGGATTGCTTGAACTTAGGGGTTTGAGACCAGCCTGAACAAGAGTGAGATGCTTGTCTCTACTAAACATAGAAAAATTAGCAGGCACCTGTAGTCCTAGCTACTAGGGAAGCTGAGGCAGGAGGACTGCTTGAGCCCAGGAGTTTGAGATTGCTGTGAGCTAGGCTGACACCATAGCACTCTAGCATGGGTGGAGTAAGACTGTCTCAAAAAAAAAAAAAAAAAAAAAGGAAGGAAAGAAGAGAATAATGGCCAAGTAGTATAGTTCAGACCTAAATCTCAGAGAAGGATGGCTGCCTGTGGCCTCCAAGGCTAGGGCCACCTCCCTGGTGAAGGCTGACTCTGCACTGACTGTGAAGGCCACACAGGCCTTGCTATGTAGGTTATCATGAGGATGAGAGGTAACGTCTGGCACATGGCAGCTGTTCAATGAGTAGTAACAAGAGTACAGAAGGAGGCAATAACTAGCTGGGGCTCAGAGAAGCTCCCTAAGCAGAAGTCTAAAAGGAGTCCTGGAGGATGAATAGGAGTAGAATCCAGACAAAGAAGTCTGAAGCAATGAGAGTCCCTAATGGGTAACAAACACACTTTCTATTTATTCATATTCCAACTTGTTCCACAAAGGACTTTAAGAATGTGTGTAGCTTCATACACGTGACTACCAACACACACGTAAGTGGTGTTCTCTTTGAGGAAGGCATCGTGTTGGGTGCTGGATTCTGGGACCATCTCTCCTCTCTGGGTCTCCAGCCAGCAGAGAGGTCATGACATTGTGGGTGGGACACAGAATCCTGAATTTAGGCTCATGAGTCAGAAACACAAAAGGTTCGATTTGGCTGGGACCTCGGAGATTCCCCGGTCTATATTCTAGCTCCCCCCTCCAGTGACAGATGAGGGATCTGCAGTGCAGAATGTGTTGTGCAGGTCACTGTTGACAATGCCAGTGCCTGGTTCCTGTGCCTTCCACCTGGGGTCATGACCTCACTAGAGCAGAAAGCATAGGCTTTAGGGTCTGCCTGCCAGGCTGAGTTTGGAAGGCAGTTCAGTTGTTTCTGACTGTGAATTAAGGCAAATTGCTTAACTCCTTGACCTTGGGCCTTGGTTTCCTTTTCTGAAGCCTATGCTATTGTCCGTTCCATCCTTTCCTGCTGCAGCAAGGCCTGAGGAGTCCCAGAGCTAGTCTTGGAAGTGGTCTCCAAAGATCCTACATATTTGCAGCCAACCCTTGATCAGTGGCAGGGCAGGGAGGGACTGATCTTTCTTGCCTTTGGCCACATCCAGTTACATGAAGTGAGCGACCATGGCCAGCAGGGGGCAGAGCCAGCCAAACTCTAATTTTGGGGATGTCACATCCTAGAACCTTAGGGCTAGAAGCACCTTGGGGAAGTTCATGTGACCATTTTACAAAGGAAGCTGAGGAAGAAAGAGGGACTATAACATGCCCAGAGCACAAATAAGGAAGGCGAGTGGGACTCAGGCAGGGTCTCTCCTAGGAGCCAACGTCTAGGCCTCACATTCTGAAAGGGTTTTGCTGTTATCTGTAGATTCATAGCACAGGGGTGGGGGTAGAGTATTTGACTTGAGAGTGTGGGTTAAAAATATTAATCTCATGAAAGTAAACAATTGAAATATAGCACGAAGTTTGTATTTCCATTTTAGTCTTTTCTTTTAAAAATCCTGAAAGGAAAGTGGCCTGGGACGTCTCCGCTTCTGAGATCCTGGACCTGGCTCCTGATACCTACCCAGCCCTGCTAGCTTCCCTGCAAGCTTCTGTTTGCACACAATGGGGGCCTCAGCATACTCTGGGGGTGCTGTGGCTTGCACTCATGGTAGGATGGTGAAGGGGCAGCTGGGGGGATAGGCAGAAGCCTGGGCTGGAGTTCCCACCTTCAGTCCTGAAGTCCGAATTGCTTCTTGTTCACAGAGCCCTAGGGGCACAGAGCCTTGGGCACCCTCTTCCCACAGACCCCCCCCCAAGCACCTTCAGACAGCCCCCAGGCTCACCTGGTGGGGGATGGGCAGCCTGGACAGGGGGCTGAGGCCCAGCAGCGGGGTGCTGGCCATGGCGGCAGCAGCAGCCATGGCTGAGGAGGCGGCCAGAGGATCCACGGGCAGCTCCGGGCTCTGCTCTTGCTTCACCATGATGGAGCACAGTTTGTGTCCCAGCGTCCATGCTCCATGTTCCACATCTGGGGAAGGGGGCAGGACTCAGGCTTGGGGACTCCCAGGGCAGAGGGCTCAGGCCCCCCACCCCCTACTCGTTCCTTGGGTGCTGCTCTGGACTGGATTGAAGAGAGATGCTAGATACACCAGAAGGTGAGAGGGTGGGGTGGGCTGGGCCAGAGGAGGAGGGGGTTTCCTCTTCATTCAGCAGCTTACAGAATGGCTTGGACACCAGACCTGGACCCCTCTTGATTGGGTGTGTGACTTTAGGCAAGTTGCTTAACCTCTCTGAGCCTTAGCATCTTTGTCTGTAAAATGGGGAAAAGAATGAGACAGCTAATAGGGAGGTTTTGAGGATTAAATTGTATAATGCACATAAGATGTTTAGCACAGTGCCTGATGAGCACTGAATGTTCAGTAAGTGTTAGCTATTGTTAATACAATTATTGTTATTCAGGAAACATTTGCTGAACATGTCCTAGGTGCTGGGGATCTAGCAAGAGTCATACTAGTGTAGCTGGAACGTGGAGGGCAGTAGGTGGCTCAGCTTTAGAGGCCGGGTTTAGAGCTGTGACTTCACCCCGAAGGTGATGAGGAGCCACTGAAGTTTTCAGTATGCTCAAATTTATAATTTCTAAAAAGATCACTTTGTCCTCACATGGGGACTGGGCTGGCTTCAGGCAGGATGGAGGCAGGGACACCTGCAGGAGGAGATGAAATCCTCCGGACTGAGAAGATGAGGCTTAACAAAGACAGTGGCAGTTTCCATGGAGAGGAGGGAACTTACTAGGGGCAATTTAAAAAGAAGCATCCATAAGGCCTGGTGACTGAGGGCAAGTTGGGGGTCAGAGGGGAGGAGTGAGAGGTGAGGCTTAGGTTTGCTGGGGCCCGACTCCATCTCTTGCCTATCTAGTGGGCCTCTTGGCCCGACTTGGCAGCAGAGCTGGCAGGCATCACCCCTTTTCCAGAGGGCACCCCCAGTCCCCTACCTAACTCAGCCCTCATGGTGGTCCCAGTGCCTGGAAGTCAGAGAAGCAGCCAGGAAGATGGGGCATTGGGGAGCCAGCATGTAGTGGAAGGGCTGGCGGGGACTCTGGACTTTAGGGTTCACTGTGGTGGGGAGAGGGGTCAGCGGCTGCCTGACCCCACCTCAGAGGCCAGGCCCCACCCAGCTAGGAGCCTGAGTGCCCCAGCTCTGGGCCACAGGCTGCCCCTGGGCTCCAGGAATACCCACAATCTTCCCAAATTACAGGGCCAGGCATCTGGCCTCTGGGAAGCTGCCCCCTGCAAAGGGCCCACAGACAAATTGCTTTAAAAATAGACTTGGGGTGACCAAGGAGTTTCTGGGTAGGCCCAGCAGAGATGGATGGAGAACCTGAAATGGTGGGAGATCTACCCCAAACCTCTGCCCTTTCCCAGCCTTCCAAGAGGCTTGGCTGAGGCCCGGGCACAGTGGAAAGCTGGGACTGGACCTAGGCAGTCACTTAAAACCCAGAAGGTATCCCTGCCCTTGTGAGGAGAGAGAGATGCAATGGACTGTCTTAGGGAATCTCAAAGACCCTCAGAAGCAGCTCACACATTTTGCGCTGAACATAGCAGTGCGCCCTTGACACACTGTGCTCATTTATTCCTCCCAACAACTCCAGGAGGCAGGTCTTGTCTTTCTCCCCATTTAATAGATGAGAAAATTAAGACACTCACTCAAGATCATTATACTCTGGAGGGAAAGGGGTAAGAATGGTGTTCATGGTTCTTGCTGCTAGTAATATTAATAGAACTTTTATGTGTACAATAAAATTAGCCAATAATTATGGACATATATTACATGCTGGGCCTTGAGCTGGGTACTTTGCATAGATATTTTAAAATCCCAACCAGAATTCTCAAGGTACATATTTATCTTCATTTTATAATTGAGGAAACAAAAGCTCAGAGAGGTTAAGCAACTTGCCCAAAACAACCCAGCAGCTAGTAGATGCACTGGATTCACATCAAAGCTTGTGTGGGTCCCAACCCAGTAGCCCCCGCTGCCTCTTGAGGCTGGCCATTGTAGTGATGGCAGGTTGTGCCACTGAAAATCAGGGGCTTACTGTTAAGTCTCTGTTCTGTATTCTACTGCATGTGTGACCTAGAAAACTCAGCTTTTGCGAAGTATCATTTTTCTTATTGGCCAAATGGGGATTGTGATAAAAGTATTATTTATTTATTTATTTATTTGAGACAGAGTCTCACTATGTTGCCCTTGGTAGAGTGCCATGGCGTCACAGCTCACAGCAACCTCAAACTCTTTTTTTTTTTTTTTTTTGAGACAGAGCCTCAAGCTATCCCCCTGGGTAGAGTGCTGTGGCTTCACAGCTCACAGCAACCTCCAACACCTGGGCTCAAGCAATTCTCCTGCCTCAGCCTCCCAAGTAGCTGGGACCACAGGTGCCCACCACAACGCCCGGCTATTTTTTGGTTGCAGCCGTCATTGTTGTTTGGCGGGCCCGGGCTGGATTCAAACCTGCCACCTTAGGTGCACCTTAGCCACTTGAGCCATGGGCGCTGAGCCAGCAATCTCAAACTCTTGGGCTTAAGTGATTCTCTTGCCTCAGTCTCCCAAGTTGCTGAGACTATAGGCACCTGCCAGAATACCTGGCTATTTTTTGGTTGTAGTTGTCATTGTTGTTTGGCAGTCCCAGGCCGGGTTCAAACCCACCAGTTCCGGTGTACGTGGCTGGCACCCCAACTGCTGAGCTATAGGCACCGAGCCATCATAAAAGTATTCTTACCTTGCCTGTCAGTTTTGAGAAACAGATGTGATAATTAACATTAAGGCCATTTGTAGACTAGAGAATGCGATAGAAAATGTTTATCATTATCCTTATTTGCAGATGAAAATACTGAGACTTAAAGAGGTTAAGAGATGTGTCTGTGGTCACCTAGCCAAAAATCATGGAGCCAAGGTCACCTGTATTTGAAGAAATGTCCAAAGGGACCTCTTCTAGGTGGGGATTGGTGTGGTCTGGAATGCTGGTTACCTGAGAGGAAGGACTCAGAGGGCCCTTTGCTTTAAAGGGAGGAGTTAAAGGAGAGGGGAGCTTTAGAGAACCTTAATCTCTCTCAGGTGGCATCTTGGAGGACATCACAGTGCGAGGCAGTGGTAAGATTCTAGAGCAGCGGTTCTCAACCTGTGGGTTGTGACCCATGGGAACTCAACCTGTGGGTTGTGACCCATGGGAACTGTATTAAAGGGCTGCGGCATTAGGAAGGTTGAGAACTACTGTACTAGAGTCTTTGTAACTTGTCTACATTTATTATTTATTTACCCCCATGGTTTCTTCTGAGTCAGTGGGTCTTAAACCTGAGCCTACATCAGAATCATCTAGAAGGCTGGGCTGGTCCACAGGTCTGGAGTAAAACCTGAGAATGTGCATTTCTAAGAAATTACTGGTTGTTGCTGCTGGTGTGGGAATTACACTTTGTGAACTATTGCCCTAAGTCAGTGGTTAAAACACCCTTTTGACAAGTGTCCGTATGGGTTTGGTCTGAGGGAGACAGAAAAGCGTGAGCAGCACCCTCTGAGGGGGTTTGTGGGAGCTCCTGGGAGTCTCAGCCTGCAGGTGCCCACTCTTGTCACTCCCAGGCTTCCTCTCTCCTGGGCCTCCAGGGCCTGTGCTGTCCCTGGGCCCTCCTACCACTTACCTTGGGTGGTGTCCTCCATTTTGATGGGCGCAAGGGGGCTCTGAGGTGCCGAGTCACCGCTCAGGGAGTAGCTGTGCTCAGCCTGAATGCCTGGCGTAGGGGAGTCCAGTTCCATATCCAGCAGAGGGCTCTTCTCATCCAGCACAGGATCATCAAAGAAACTGCTGAACAGGTCATTGGAGAAGTCCTCCATGTTCTCCCCAAAGTGGTCCAGGTGCTCAGGAAAGTGCTGGGGAAGGGGAAGAGGGGATTCCACATAGCTTGGGAAGGGGATGAGGTGCAGCTGCGGCACCACCACCACTGTCCCTGCTACCTCTCATCACTACCTCCCGTCCCTACCATCAATACCGCCACTGTCATCACCAACATTGCACCGATACCAGCATACCAGCTCTTCTCCTTCCTTCCTTCCCTCCCTTCCTTCCTTCCTTCCTTCCTTCCTTCCTTCCTTCCTTCCTTCCTTTCTTTTATGAGACAGAGCCTCAAGCTGTCCCCCTGGGTCGAGTGCCGTGGCATCACAACTCATAGCAACCTCCAACTCATGGGCTCAAGTGAGTCTCCTGCCTCCACCTCCCAAGTAGCTGGACCACAGGTGCCCATCACAACACCTGGCTATTTTTTTTGGTTGCAGCCATCATTGTTGTTTGGCAGGCCTGGGCTGGATTCGAACCCACCACCTTTAGGTGTATGTGGCTGGCGCCTTAGCCACTTGAGCCACAGGTGCTGAGCCTGCCTGCCTGTCTGTCTGTCTGCCTGTCTGTCTGTCTGTCTGTCTTTCTTTCTTTCTTTCTTTTCTCTCTCTCTCTCTCTCTCCCCTCCCTCCCTCCCTCTTTCTCTCTCTCTCTCTCTTTCTCTCTTTCTCTCTTTCTCTCTTTCTCTCTTTCTCTCTTTCTTTCTTTCTTTCTTTCTTTCTTTCTTTCTTTCTTTCTTTCTTTCCTAGATAGAGTCTCACTATGTCAACCTCGGTAGAGTGCTGTGGTCATGGTGTTATAGCTCACAACAACCTCAAACTCTTGGGCTTAAGTGATTTTCTTGCCTCAGCCTTCCAAGTAGCTGGGACTACAGGTGCCCGCCACAGCACCTGGCTATTTTGGTTGTAGTTGTCATTGTTGTTTGGCAGCCCCAGGCTGGACTGGAACCCACCAGCTCTGGTGTATGTGGCTGGCACCCTAGCCGCTAAGCTATAGGCGCTGAACTTCTGTCACCAACAACATCACATTTCTTCCTTACCCCACTATCTACACCAGCGGTTGTCAACTGACAGCTGTTCCTGTCACAACCCACAGGAACTGTATTAAAGGGCTGCAGCATTAGGAAGGTTGAGAACCACTGATCTACACCCTCACCATCTATACCCTCAAAGGTGAGCTGTGGATGCGGTCAGATGCCCTGGATTGAGCAATAGAACCTGGGGCTCTGTGCTCCTGGCCAAATCACTTACGCTGCTTGAGTCTATTTCTATTTTCTTCATGGACTGATGTGAAGACTAAGTAAGTAAAAGAAAAGTTGTGTGTGGATGCCAGCAAGTTTATTCCAAAGGCAACGTAAGTGACTTTTTTTTTTTTTTTTTTTGAGACAGAGCCTCAAGCTGTCCCCCTGGGTAGAGTGCCGTGGCATTACAGCTCACAGCAACC